AAACCCTGTGAGGTTGGGGGGACGGGACGTGATGGCTCTCTTTAAGGACTGGAAGGGCTGTCGCTTAGAGGAAGGCAGGGAGCTGTTCCCATTGGCAGCAGAGGACACGACTGGCCATAACGGGTTTAAATTAATAGCAGGAAGGTATCGGCTGGATCTTAGGGAAAACTGTTTTTATTGTAAGAGTCATGCAAGAGTGGAATCAGCTGCCCGGGGAGGTGGGGAGCTCCCCCTCCCTGGCAGTCTTTAAGCAGCGGCTGGACAAAGACTTGTCAGGGATGCTCTAGGCTGGTCCTGCATTGAGCCGGGGGTTGGACTAGATGGCCTGTATGGTTCCTTCCGACTGTGTGAATCTATGGGTTACACTGTAGGAGTGGAACTTGGCCAAGAACACCCAGTCAACATCATGGTGTTGCAAAGTATTGTTATGAGGGATGGGATTTCTTCTCTCCCCCCCCCCAAATTCACCAGGGCTATTTGTGGGCAGGAACGCACATGGACGGCGTTCCGGCTGGCTTCAGAGTTGGCCACGCCCACTACAGCCAAAACCTCTGCGTGCGTGGCTACAGAGGGAAGGCCTGGAGAGTGACCCCCCTGGCAACTCCAAGGCGGGCAGTCTAGGGGCCCCCTGGAAGGATTGGGGAGGCATTTAAATGTCTCCCCGTCCCTTTCCCAGCCTGTCCAAAGGCCGGTTTACCCGGGCAAGCCAAGGGAAGGCATGGGGTGTAGCCTAATATGCTAATGAGCTGTACTATCGGGGTGTGGCCTAATATGCTAATGCCTTTCAGCTGTTGGGTGTGGCCTATTTTGCTAATGAGTTCCTGCTGGGCTTTTTCTACAAAAAAAGCCCTGAAATTCACTATTTTTAGAAATCAACAGCGGTTCCTCTTATCCTACTTCCTTTTCTTTTTAAAAGAGGGATTTCTCTTTCATTTGACCTTGAAGATAAAGTGTACCCTTTTGTAGCATCATCTATTGCAGCTACTTTAGCTTACACACCACAGGCTGGTGCTCTAGCAGGAAGACAGGAAGGTTTGGGGAGACAATGCCGGCTTCTGAGCATTTATGGAGTGAGATTCTGAGATCCTGCAGAACCTCTCTTTGGATTTTTCTTCTATAAAAAAAAAACCACCCAGAACTGATTAGAGACAGATACCAAATCCCTAAAAAGAGAAGAAATAAATTTCAGGGAGAAAACAGGTAAAAAGGAATTCAGATAATTTATCTTAATACTAAGGTAGCTTTCTATATGCAAAG